CAGGCAGAAACCTAGGACAGGTCCATTTACCAAAGGCGCTATACAAGTACAGGTCCATTTATCATTTACCATTCCAAATAAAACAAGGTATTAATATAAATAATATAAAGTGTTGTGTTTTGTGTGTGGCTCATGTAGTCACATATTTTAGTGCTGATTTTGAATCACTGGGTCTCACATGAAAGCTTCTAAACAATAAAATAAATAAAAAAGTAACTGTTGGTCATTGTCAATGATAAAATCCTGTTAGCTGAAGTTTTGATCACACTGGATGCTGGATGTTTTGCGCTGTGGATAAACTGCTAGTGGACCCTGCATCCAGGTCTCTCGGCGTCTTGGCTTTTACTGTTTATGTTCTGCAATTTTAAATGTGTGATCAATATGATAAAGGGAATGCTGCTCCACAATTCACTGAACTCTACTATGTGTACTATTTTCAAATTCAGTCTTCATAATTGATGATACAACAAGACACCTTTCAAACAGAGAAGCATGTAGAAAGGATTATTAGACCTTGTTTGTCCTCCTGACCTGTAGGGAGAGCTTGCGAGATCTCAGGAGGTGTCCCTCAGCTTCCTCCCTCCTGTCTTCCTCCATCCCCTCTTTCCTCATCCTCTGCAGTTCCTCCTCTCTCCCCTCCCTCTCCTTCTTCCTCTGTGCCCGGGAGGTTAGAGGGCAAAAGGAGTTGACCGCTGCAGAGCCTTCACTCCCTCTCAAAGATCTAGAGTCTTGCTGTACTGCAATGCGAGAGAGATTCAGAGGCACAAACACAGACAGATTGAGAGGCAGAAAAATATATTAGATACAAACAAAGAAAAAAATAAGTGCAGCATTTTGTTTGATAAATTAATCTTCTATTTCATTTAAAGTTTTTTTCAATCATTAAGAAATTACACACTCACAAAGACTGATACAATGATATGCATACTTAACTAAATACCCTCTAAGTACCTCTTGCTCTACTGAAAATGCTCATGTTCTTCTCCTCAGTAGCAGTCCTGTGATTGGTCGAAAGACAGGAAGTAACATGCTGAGTGCCACCTGGCTCTTTTGCTTGTCCACTTGATAAGAAGGCCATGTTGCTGGGCAGTGCTGCCGAGCCTGAAGAGGAAAAGGATATGCCTTCATTGACAAGGAAAAGGAAATATTTCTCCTGCATTAGCCTCTTTGCACTGGCTCCCTGTAAAAGTCAGAATAGAATTTAAAATCCTCTTCACCTACAAAGCAAATTGAATTGAACTGAATTGAATTGATGGCTCTGGACATTGCTGGGGTGTCTTGGCAGACATAGGTGCAGTTGTTCCCATTCTTAAAAAGGGGGACCGGAGGGTGTCCTCCAATTATCGGGGAATCATACTCCTCAGCCTCCCCGGGGGTAGTTTTTCCAGAGTGCTGGAAAGAAAGCTCCAACAGATTGTTGAACCACAGATTCAGGAGGAGCAAAGCAGATTCCTTTCAGCTGTTAATCCTTGCGGGGTTGCTGGGGGGTTCATTGGAGTCTGACCATCCAGTCTACATTTGTTCCGTCAGTCAAAACACTGTGGTGTAGACAGTTTGGTGTTGAATATAGAGAGACATTTACTCGGGTTCATTCTCAATAACTGAGAGATCATCAATACACAGTAGGCACATTCAGGAATCTGACAGAAATGATTCACTTAATAATCTGGGGTGGAATTTACAAGCTACCCACCAACATTAAAGTGATGTACATATTAATTCATCAATAATTGTAATACAATAATATAATTCAATAATTTGAAATGGGTCACTTGGCATTATGAGTACAACCAGATGTAAACAAAGAAGTAGTTTATGAACTTAACTTTGAATAATTTGAGACTGCATGAATAGCAAACAGTTTTGGAGAGGAAATGTATGAGTACATGTGATTAAACGTAATGTAACTAATACATTTCTTTTTCACCAGTCTCTTCAGGTTGACTGCGTACCGCCAGTTTACCCTTTGGGCCAGGGGGCATTTGGGGAGGAAGAACCGGGTTCCCATTCCAGCCTGTGCTGTCAGCGCCATCAGGGCTGTTATCCATGGAATATTACTTAATTGTTTAATGTTTGCCATTAAATAGTTGTTCAATGTGCATTTATATTATATTTAGTTGTTTGTTTTTTTGGGGTGTGTTTGTATCCTTAATACAATGTAGGATAGTATGAATAATGTGTCTGTTTTATGCAATGCATAATGGAAAATGGTTATTGCTGAAGGCTCAGTTGCTCTAATACAAAAATAAAATTAATAACACAAATTTAACTCACAACAACCTCTGAAAAAGATTAATTCCAGGTGGGATAGAGAAACTGAACTACAAAATTTAATATTTAACATATATACATAGCTGATTTTAATAGTAAAAATAGAATGGATGGTGGATAAGAATAATCTAAAAACAGAAATGATCCCAACAATAAAAACCATCTACATTCTATTAATAACATTCTGCACGGTTTCTACAGAAATGCAAATCCATAGAACTCTGTATTTGAACTTTTTTTCTTATATTCCTTATTATATTATTACGTAATTTAATTTTTGAAAATATATAGAAACCCTGAATTATTATTTTGTCAATTTACTGAATTTATTGAGGAACTCATCATTTAGTTTTGTTCATACATTCTTTTCTTCCTCAGGGACCTGTGTTACGGGGCTGTGAGGGTGCAAATCTGCATAAATGCTTGGCCACAGTGCTTTGTCTGGTTTTTCCACACCTTTGTGCTGGGCCAGGGTGACAAGAGTCTCAGTTTTCATCTCCTTCAGTGTTTCCTGGATGGATGTCGTTTTACACCTACTGATCACTCCTGCCACAATGTTCTTCCTGAAGGT